ACACACATGCACACATGCAAACACACATGCATGCACACATGCAAAGTCACACATGTGAACCTACACACAGATTAGATTTTGGGGCATATAGTTTGCTACGGTGCTCTACGCGATTATTTAGGACATTTGTTGTCTATCCTCTCTCTGTCCTGGGAAGATTTTAGAAATTCTAATACAGGAGGCTGAGAAAGGAAAACATTGGCTTCTACAGTACAAACATCTCTGTCCTGAAAGAAAATGTTAATTTTCTTCTAAATCAAATGTTGACACATATCAGCTGCAGCTGAAGATGTGTCACTGTGGGACAAGATCTCAGCTCCAGAGGGTGGGCATCAGGCTGAAATCCCTCCTCCAAAATGCTAGCTGGTTTTTTATCCTACACAGGTTTGGTTTAGATGTTTTATGAATTGACCCAGTTTGTTTTCAAAAAGCTGATCTCTCTGGGATACCCTGAGTAGGGGAGCATGGTTCAACTTTGTGGAATGAACTGTTTTCTGCAGAAGCCTAGGACCCTACGCTGTCATCTGCAGTGATGCAGGCGCTGCCTGCATCTGCCAGGGCCACAGGATTTTAACAGAAGATGTGGGAGGGGGAAAAAGTCTAGGAGTACAGAGAAATGAAGGAATCTACAGGCTAAGGGAAATTTCCAGTGCTAGATGTTTTGCCTATCCCTTTCCCCATTGCTCCCAAAATATGCACTGTAAATATTCTTTGTTCAACACCTATGTTTAAACAATTCCAAATTAAAATTTCCCTGCTTTCCCCCCAACTAATCACACACACACACACACACACACACACACACACACACACACACACTTTTAACTTGTTAAGTTTGAAATATGATGATATCTACAACCAGTGTGCTTTGCCAGAATGCACTGTTAAGGCCAAGATTAATGCAGAAGGTTGGTGCAACATTGCCGCAGAGCAGCGTGATCAGAATACAAGATGGAGCGTAGGGGGAAAGGCCAAGAAATATGTCTGCGCTTGGAGTTTACACAAGTCTCCTTAGCAACTTGTCTGCATTTATTTTTCCCTTAATGTGTGTGGGTTTCTTCCAAACCCTGAGTGAAATGGGAGTTGAGTTTCTGACAGTCCCGTTTCCCTTCTTGGGGGCAAAATTGTTTCATTTGGCGACTGAGGCTTTCTCTTTTTTTTTACCAGCTCCTTCTCCTCTCTTCCACTCCCCACCCCCCTCACATTGAGGGAGCTCTGATCCTTTGCATTGTGACCTTGTGGTCTGTTGGTAGCTTTCCAGAAATCCACCTCTCCGTGGGGGAATGAGAGAGCCCGTTTCTGATGGCTGCAGCTGTGCAGATTTCTGCCGTAGCCTTGCTGCTTGCAGTGCACGCTCCTGTGTGTGGCACAAGTGTAAATGTGCCTGTTATACGCCTGGGTTATAAAATCTGGGAGGAACGACACGCTCCTTTCCTCTCTGCTATTTTTCTTTTTCTGTCTTACTCACCTCTCTTTCTATCTCTCATCACTCCTTCCCTAGTACAAAAGATCCTGTAATTCTAATTGGAAGATGAATATAAAGCTATTAGGAAAAAGCCCTGATTTTTAGGGATTTGATATGTTAGATTTTATGTGGCTGGGCTTGCTGCAGGGGAGACAACCATATATTCTGCAGTGGTTTTACCTAAAATTGTTTTTACCTTGAAATAGCTCTAGGGGAGTATAGATGCTGCCTCACTGGAGCCGATACTGAATATAAATCTTCATATTTCTCTTTCTGTCCCCTCCCATTTTAGAATCGGGAAAAAAAGGAAAAAGAAACCTAGCCAAAAAAATGTTAAGGTTCGACTTTGGCTTTTTTACCAACAGATGTTGCTTGTCATTCTGTTGTTCTTAAGCAGGCACCAGATTGGACCAGACAAGTGTGTGTGTGTGTGTGTGTATGTGTGTGTGTGTGTGTGTGTGTGTATGAAAAAGAATTAGAAGGTTGATGGAGGGCTGGAAAGCAAAATAACTAGATCAACTTTGGGGAAAAGTTGAGAGCAAGAAGTAAGTAAAATAGTTGAATGCTTTTTTTTTCTTTCCCAACTTCCTTTTGGTGAAGAGCATATAAAATCATCTTCTAGTTGGTTGCCTTTTGTTCCAAACAAAGAGAGAAGTGTGGAAATCAATAGACATGGAGAGTCCTAGGTGGAGAAACTTGCTAGGGTGAAATGCAGACAGAGAGGGGTGCGTGGCATTTCTTCTGAGTGGACCTGCACTCCGAGTGAGGCAAAGGTCTTTCTGTTTCAGCTGTATATCATTTCTTGGGTTTGAAGGCTTCTTTTTGTAAGTATCATTGTGGACATTCCAGGCTCCTCTATAACTTTCCCAGAACAAGACTCTATTGTCATGCAGTCAAAACCCTAAAGAATACTCACTCTTTACATAGTATGTATCCCTTTTCTTGCAGGATTCAATCTTCCAGTCTTCCCAAGCCATCCTATCCATGCACTTTCTAATCTAATTGTGATATATCAAGAACAAAACATAGCTTTGAATAGAAAGTGTTAAAGTTGGCTGGCATCTAGGAAGCATTTATGTAGCATATAGTTCACTTCGGTTAAAGAGATGACAGTCATCTGATTTTTAAAAATACATGCCTGATGTTTCTATGTCAGAATCAAGGTCTTATTATTTTTTCATATTTCAATTCTCCTTCCCTGCTTCATTGGCAAAATAGCTAGAAAGGAAGTTAACGACTGGCATTATTGTTTGCGTTTTAAAAATGAAGAAAAATTGTCATCCTGAGCAAACTTATTCCTTTCAAAAGTGAAAGTACTATCCCTTAGCCAGCGCACACAGAACGACTTGTTATTGGCAAAGTTTCTCTTTTGTTTCATCTAGTTTTCAAAAGTGAATTTGCCTTCAATTTCTCACTCTCAAATAGTTGATTTTTGTTATACATCTGTTTTAAGTGAAAATGTTCACTTAAAACATTGTGGGTTTAACATTTTGTTAATTGCAGAAAAATAAGCTCACTCTTCAAATAATCTGAGAGTGTCTTTTGTTTTCATCCAATGTATCTTCTACTATACCATTTTCCATGTCTCTTCTCTTTAGTTGACCTGTACACACTTGCGTTTATCATTTACATAAAATATTTTTTAATGCGGGAAGGGTGTGGTGGGGGGAGGATTATAAATCTCAATCAGTCTTCAGTGTTCCCTTTGCGTGAAAGAAACATGAAAAGAATGACAGTACTTTGCCAGTCTCCTCTCTCCCTACGCCCTTCTGGTCAATTTTTCCTGGTAAAAAAAGAATGAGTTCTACTTAAGCTAGCTGGTTTTGGTGCCGAAAGCCTCTGCGTCACATCCTTGAGAGCTGCTCCCACTCTGTGGTCTGATATCCTCATGGCAATGTCACAGGTGGATAAAAGGTGGCATGACGATTGGCACCAATGAATTACTCTTGGAGTAGTAGCAATTACTGGATGTGCCTCTTTTGTTGAGGTGATTGAATCTTTTGGCAAAAACCAATGACTGCAAAGGACGAGAGGAAAGATCAGAAAAACTGAAAAGCTATAGGAGACCAAACACTAGCGTCTCCCCTGCTTCAGGGGACACCCGTGTCAGAGTGAACGCCAAAGGTTCGATTTGAGCAAGCTTGCTTGCTTTCCCTTTTTCTTTCTTTCTCTCTCTTTCTTTCGTTCTTTCCTTTCTTCTTTCCTTTCTTTGTCTTCCTTCCTTCCTTGTTTCTTTGTCTTATGTTTCTTTCTATTGTTTTTCTTTCCTTTTTCTTTCTCTTCCTTCCTTCTCTTTTTCTTTCTTTCCTTCTCTTTATTTTTTCTTCATTATCTTGCTCTTTCTTTTCTTTCTCTGTCTCTGACTCTTTTTCTTTTCTCTCACTCTGCCTCTCTTTTCTCTCTCCCCCTTCTCTCTCTCCCCCCCTTTCTCTGTCTCTCTCTCTCTCTTTCTTTCTTTCTTTCTTCCTTCCTTCTTCTTCTTTTTTTCTCTTTTTTTCTTTCTTTCTTTCTTTCTTTCTTTCTTTCTTTCTTTCTTTCTTTCTTTCTTTCTTTCTTTCTTTCTTTCTTTCTTTCTTCTCTCTCTCTCCTTCCTTCCTTCTTCCTCCTATCCTTCCCATATAAAAAATTGTCTGGTCAAATTGTCCCATCTCTTTGGGACAAAGGAGATCCACTGAGATTTTTTTTTAATAGGATCTACATCTTTAAGAAGGAAGGGTGATAGAAGGCAGGAAATCTTTCTGTTGGTGTTCTGCTGACATCACCATGGATTCAGTGTTCAAATCCACAGCCAGGCAAAACTCAAATAAATTTTCCTCTTTGCAAGCAGCTGCACTGTGAGTTCGCCTTCCATTAGTAAAGGGACAATGAAGGAAAGGCAAACTCTGCGTCCAAAACATGGCCAATGAAAAGACACTGGAATGGAAGCCACCTACCCTGCTGTGGTGCGGAGGTGTAGACTCATGAATCCGCCACAGTCAGGTATTTGCTTCTTTTTAACAGCCCTGTCAGCAGAGAGAAATGACTCCTGAATCATTTCACAGTAAAAAAGTTAAAATGATGCCTCAGTGGTGCTGTATCACGCCAGCTACTCACTGCCCAATTCATTGATTACACCTTAAACTATTCTTAATTATAGATAGCCTGTCTCTTAATCATGCTTAGCAAGTGAGTGGTTTGGTATAAAACATTTGTACAAAAATTTGGGCATATTCCGAGACTTCACATTCCTATTTGATAGTTTTTCTGGTAAAATTGTTCTCAAGGTCCATGGGTAGCCAGGGGAATTCCAGGAAAAATGTGAAGTTACTTATTTGCAGAACCTATTTATTATGTGTAGTTCTGGAAATAAAGTAAACATAATGGTTCGCGATGTTTTTCTTGAAATACTTTTATTTCAGTTTTTGTTTTTCTTTTTACTCTTGTTCTAGTGTTACTTTCAACTTTACAAAAGAATTGGGTGGCAAAAGAAACCAACTGAAAAACAAGTAAAAATTCTTAACCCATTTTAAAATATTTTAAATGTCTTATTTTCCAGATGCAGGTGGATGATTTGAAGATATTAGCCTAGCAAGATGGAAGCAGGTTTAAAATTTTACATAAGAAGTGACCTTTTTCAGGTAATGACGTTTTTCTATAATTTTCCCAAAACTTTCATTTCCTCGAGTGTTGCAAATTTTTAGGGCATGCTTGAATGATTTAATAAAATGAAGAATAACTACATTTTAAACTTAATTTTTTACCCAGTTTTATAATTTTTGTAGCCAATGAGTAGAGCAGGCATGGCATTCAACTGTATGGAGTTTGGACAAAATTTTTAAATTTATTACTGAACAGCACTTGGTTTCTTGGATCTGAAAATTAAGCCATAGAGCTACAATTAAATTTGCTGTTTTGCCAAACTTCACAGCACCCACCAGCAGGCTCTGAGCAATCATAACATGCATTTGAAACTAGCAGGCACTGCCCCTTAACTCTGTCACTATCTTGGGCGTTTGATTTAAAAAATATAAGTATTACAGGATTGGCTCTAAAAAGCCTGCCATGTGCTCTGAATTCCTGGAAGATAGAGCTTATATAAATTGCATAATAACAATATTGATTTTTTAATTTTAGTCCTAGATTGGTAATACTATATGGCACTTTATGAAACTATTCCCATGCATATTCAGTGAGTAGGATCTGATCTTAGCTTTCATGATGCAGGCAGTTTCCCTTTAGTGTCATTGAAGGGCTTTTTACCACCTGAAAATGTTTAATAACATAAATTACATATTTGCTCTATAAGTTACATTACTCTGCTTTTGTCATTGTTTATCAGCATTAACCCGTCTTTTCCAACTTGTCAATATTACTAAGAGAGCCCGAGGAATCTTGCTTAATGAAGCAAGCCAAAATTTCTTCTGGAAAAATACCTATTTTCCTCCTGAACACAAAGAAGATTCTTAAGGGTTATATTCAATTAATACTTTAGGAAAAATATCTACTCCCAAACAAACCATCCCTTTACTAGGTCAGTATTTGATTTTCTTCTCTCTCTCTCTCTCTTTTTTTTTTTTTTTTTTTTTTTTTTTTTCTGCAGCCTAGCTATCTTCTGGTTGCTCTTTTATTTTCTAAAATTGAAACTTGGGATTGTTTGCAGGTTAATGCTATAAACCATTTGAAATGAAAAACTTCTTTCTGTTCTATATTTGCCAAGAAAAGGGAGAGCTGCCCCCAGCTGAAACGCAGCATTGAGCTCCTTTCTATGGAGGTCAAGAGTGCCATGCAAATTTATGGAAGTGGTGCTATTGGAATGCCTCAGTGTACCACTTTGAAAGATCTTAGTCTATTGCTAACAAATATTGTATCATTTTTAATAAGCGTGATGGTAACAGTTTGGTCTCATTACTCTGAGACCTTGGGCTTATTCTGTTCCATTATAATAGGAGCTCCTACACCCCCCACATTCCAGCAATATTTAACAGTGTTCAAAGTGCCCATCCTCAAATACCTCTAGCCCCATGCCTTTGTCAGAGAGATGGAAGGAAAAGAAGCAGCTCAGAGCTTATTTAAAAATCTTTTATTTTAGAAAGGAAGTGAACATTTTAAAATAAAATAAATTAAGTAAAGACCATCTGGGGGTGACTGATTTGGATACGACTTACTTCCACTTGCTATTGTTGTTTCTTCGGATCCGAAAATTAAGCCAGAGAGCTACGACTAAATTCTCAGTTTTGCCAACCTTCGCAGCACCAGCAGGCTCTGAGCAACTGTACCACCGCTCACTTGTGATAAGACAGGGAGACAACAAACTATCTATGAATGGTTATGTCTCAGTTTCTGTTCATGGTACTGTTGGTTTCCTGTTCTCTTGATGTAATGTTTTAGGTTGCATACATGAGGGCCTGCTCTTTTCTCTGAATAATTCCTCAATTCATCTCTGCCTTTTTTTTGTTATTAGTAGGGCTTCATTTCGTCTCCCAGATTCTTCTTCTTCTTCTTTTTTTGAGACAAAGTCTCACTCTGTTGGGGCTGGAGTGCAGTGGCACAATCTTGGCTCATTGCAACCTTGCCTCCAGGCTCAAGCAACTCTTGTGTCTCAGCCTCCAGAGTAGCTGGGATTACAGGCACATGCCACCATGCCCAACTAATTTTTTTGTATTGTTAGAAAAGACAGGGTTTCATCCTGTTGGTCAGTCTGGTCTTGAACACCTGACCTCAAGTGATCTGCCCACCTCTGCTTCCCAAAGTGCTGGGATTACAGACATGAGCCACTGGTGCCTGGCCCCAGGTTCTTGAGAAAGGAGTGAGTGAATGTCCATTTGTTGAGGCAAATGAGATAATTATTTTGAGAGCCAGGATCTATAATCATAGCTAACAAAAGTTAAAAAGATCTCTTTTTAGGTCATGTAAAGGAATGGAGTCATATGTGTTTCCCAACTTCTAGGACAGGGAATTATTTCTCTTTCTAACGTGTGTATATAAAGTGTTTATGATTATGACTGTCTTCAATATAATTCATAAAGCCGCCATTAATAAAAATTCATTGTCTTGGATCTTTCCTTCTATGTAGAACATTGGCTTTGCAGAAAAAAATGTTATGTTGACAAATGAAATCATTTTATAAGAAGATCTCTGAAGCAGATTCACCCCCGTACTCTCAAACGGTTTTGTGGGGAGAACAATTATGTAATTTCTTTCATGGTTCAAATTTTATAAAGTATATCCAAATTTGCTCACTGTTGGTGTTTGAATCAATAGTAAGTGTGGGGGTGGGAACAAAAATGCAAACTTTTCCTGAAGATGGATCTTAATATAGCTGAAAATCTCTAGAGTGGTTTTCAAAAAAGTATGCCTACAAATCTGTTGGTAGTACGTGCTAAGTTTATTCCAGTTGTTTTCCAGAATGCAAATGAAAAAATGAAAGTTTCACCATCATTTTTAATGTAATGATAGGTATTTAAAGGAATGAACTTGCATTTGGTCTCTCATGTGTTCTTTCTCTCTCTGCCTACAACTTAAAGAACTTTCTTTATTCTGCTGGTTTGCCATGTTTATATAACTTTGCCCAGGTTGTGTGTTTAGCAGCGAATAAATGAGTCTTCCATATGTAAACAGTAAAATGATGAGGTTTAACTAAAGTCCACTGGATCTATGGAAAAAGTGGAAAACAAGGGAGGCATGTTGGGGAGAACATAGATGTTGCTTAACTTTTGCTTTTGTGAGAGCAGGATGAAGTCCTTTCTATTTCTGGCATAAGACAATGGAATGGTAGACTCTTTTGTTGGATGAATGGTTTTAACCTTTCATTTTCAGACATGTCACACCCCCAAACGAGAGAAGATATTGAGGCCTGTTGCCACAAACCCGTAGATCCGAACTTGTGGTGTTAGTCTGCACAAGCTTGTGTCTATAGGTATGTGTCTGTTAGGCAATCTCACAGACCTCGGGCTGTGCCTATATGGCAGTCAATATCCCTTCAAGTTATTTCATTCTCCCGTTCTTCCTCTTAGTTTTCTTATCGATAAAAATGGAAAAGGGGGCTGATGTGGAGGAAAGAGATCTTTTGTCCTGAAATGAATGAGGTTCCTCAGTGATTAATTAACAGGCCTGCCCTCAATTCCCATATCTCTTGTAACTGGTCTCAGCTGTCAAATTAGAAGGCTGGGCTTGCAGGTGAGGCAGCAAGAATTTGAGTGATTGGGACAACTTACTGTGGAGTGATGAGTAAACAGATAAACAAGCATTTGTTTTGTTTTCTGTAAGCCTAATTGTTGTCAAAGTTATTATGATATATTCCGGGAAGTGGCAAACATGTTTCCACAACCAATTTCACCTTGATTTGAGTTTTTGAGTTTTCCTTTGTTCCAATTCTTCTTCCCCCATTTCCCCAATAATTTTGCTTAAGAAGATAAGGACTGATAAATCAGAATGGATGTGTTTAACTGCTTAACTAGTTATACTTCTATAAATACCCATTAGTGTAAGAAGAACTTTTTATAAAAAAGAAATCTCCAGTTTAGGTCCAAATTCATATTTGGCTAGAGCTGTTTTATAAGTCTTTATCCTGCTAAAAGACTGGAATGAAAATAATTTTATCCCCTTGCCTCTTAAATGTCACAATTGTGCCAGATTTGAAAAGCTAAACTGACCACAGATCAAAGAAAAACTGGCTATATTTGTCTCATTCCAACAATGTGAGCTGAGGAATCAGTAAACAGAACCCAGGGTGAAAAGTTGATCAGATTTGGGTGACTCCAAAACTTTTGCATTCCCTTTTGGTAAAACATAGTGCCAGAAATTCCCTTAAGATGTGTGTGTGTGTGTGTGTGTGTGTGTGTGTGTGTCCTCTTCTAACAAAAAAAAAGTCAACATGAAGTAGTTGGTGGGTTAACATTAGAAAAAGTTTGAAATTCAAATGGATAAAGTTTGTCTCCTCATAAGACCTACTGAGGAATAACTAAAACTCTTTCATTTGCCTAGTGTATAGAAAGGAGATTTTGTATTTCGGAATTAGGACAGCCTAGATACACCTGACATATGTATAAGGGGTAGAATATGGAACTCTGTAATTGCTAGGCCAAGAGGACATTACTTCCATGCATTTGCTTTGAATTTCCTTTGCATAGCATTGAGGAGGCTTGTCTATAGTGCTCAACTTCCTGCTTGCGGAGAAAGCATTGCCTTATTACGGAATGATGGCATAATACAATCAAAAGTGAAAGACTGTCTTCGTTGGTGTGTATTATATAAATTGTTTGCCTAAGGACTTTATCTACCTGATAAACAAACAATTTGCTTGGTTGGTTTTATATGCCTCTTTGAAGTGGTTAACTTGGAATGAATAAACTGCTAAGAAATTAAAACTGTACCTCCACTAGATAAATACTTGTTTGATAATGGCAAAATCACATCTCTACTCATCATCCCTCTAACCTGCTGTTGAGTGTACTGCCATGAGATTAATGATGGAGTTCATGGATCCGTGGGGACCCTGAGCTCCCGATATTCCCTGTACAGAAACAATACTGGGACTGCAAAATGGCCAGTAGGTGACTGCCAGATTACTTCTTTTAAGGAGGTTTTTAAATAAATACTTTCTCCCAAGAGAAAAGATTATATAGAGCAGTTGGCCCTT